ATTTTCGTGAAGAAAATTAATGTTGGAAGAATGCATGAAATTGACTTGGAGATCAAATATCTATGGAAAGAAAGGAGTACATCAAATATGATTGGAATTTAATCAAAAGCTGTACGGATGAAGTGGATGATGCTTGATATATTATGCAAAATGGCTCAAGTTCGAAACTCACCATTAACAATTTTACAAGGTAAAATTTGAGAAGTCAAATTAAATTAATCTGATGGAGTTGGGTGCTAGTTTAAGCTTTGGGCGCCAATTACAAGTGGAAATTTGCGAGCTATGAAATCAATTGAAATTGGGAGCAAGTAATTCAAGATGAGGAAATTGGGAGCAAGTTTCACATGGGAATTATCAATTCAAGATGGGAGCCAATTGAGGAAATTCAATACGAGGAAAAGTCTGGGAGCCAATTTTGAAGTCAAAGTTGGGAAGCAATTGAAAGCACCAGGAGCAATTTGGGAGCATGGGAGCCAATTACAATGGAGACATTCAAATTGGGTGCCAATTACAAGCCAATTGAAATTGGGTGTCAATTACAAAGGAGAAATTCAAATTGGGTGGAAGTTCAAAGCCAGTTTGAAGTCTGAGAACACCCAAACGTGAGAATGAAGAAGATGAAGATGAACTTACAGTGAAAATATTCTCACAAGGAAAAATACTAGTTTAACTAGTATGGGATTAAATTGATGAATATTTTTAAATCCCAAAGATACAAGGACCACTTTAGAGCTAATCAGAGAAGCCGTTCTACACCCAGATATTCCCACTCAACGTTAAACCAGAGGAATATCAGATGAAGTTTGGGAGCTCATTTACATGGAGATGAAGCTCTAACAACGGCTAGCTTATCCTTTCTGACATCTTTGCAGAAGATAAGATAAGATCTCTGACAAAAAAGATACAAGATTTCAAAAATGAGAGCGTCTCTTTCCAACGGACAGATTCTCATTACCAGCTATAAAATGATGAAGATATGAAGACTTGAAGTGCAGAAGAGCATAACACGAACTTGAAAAGAGATAGAGCAGTTGAAAAAATTCGAACCCATCAAAGAGGAACGAATAGAGCAATTAAGCTTGAAAAGAGCATAGAGCAAAAATCTCATTTGGTACAGAGCATACCAAAAATCTTCAAGTGAGAAGTGAGAAAAGAAAAAGAACTCAGAGAGCTTCAAAAGAGAAATATTCTGAGAGTTCTTAAACAGAGCAAAGCAGAGCAAAAATATCAAGTGCTTTACTTGATATATTCAAAGAGAGAAAATACTCAGAGCTGTCAAGAGAAATCATTCCAGAGTGTTTATCTTCATCAAAGAGACCTGCACATCATTGAAGATCATCTACAGAGTCTCAGAAGTTGGAAGCAAGACAACACTTGTTTTGGAGCAAAACAAGAGAAGGGAGGAAAGTAGCACGGAGCTGTGAAATCCTGGATTGTCACATGGAGCTGTGAGATCCGAAGCAGCAGTGTCGGAGGCACTGGGCGTGATTGGTGTGGGCTTGGTGATCAAAGCACCAGATCACGGGATACGTTTCTACCGGAGTGTGGAAGACGGGGGGAGAGTAACGCGGAGTCGTGAAATCCTGGGATAGTAGCGCGGCGACGTGAAACCCGAAGCAGCAGTGTGGTGTCACTGTGCGTGATTAGTGCGGGCTTTGTGATCAAAGCACTAGATCACGGAAATTCATTGTATCTTGGAACCAAGGAGTGGTAGATATAGTGAATTGCTCTTGGAGATAAGAGCAAGTTGAGTAGGAGGATTACACCACCTCGCGAACCACTATAATTGTCTTGTGTTCTTTACTGCTTTCTTTACTTACCGCTCTTTACATATTCGCTCTACACGAGATACACTGCTCACACAATCTCACACACACTTTATGTTTATTTATTTCCGCTGTGCACCATACTCTAACAATCTAGTTAAGAGTTTTGGTTTATCTCTGGCTTAGCAATTGTTGTGCTGTGCGAAAAAGTTTGAAAGTCTATTCACCCCCCCCCCCCACCCTCTCTAGACTTTCACTTTACCTCTTTTGGGACTAACATATTGTCCAATGTCCACAGAACATAAACTCAATTTGCAAATCTTTACAAATTGGCAAGTCAATTAAAGTATGTACACTTAAACCTTCAAATATGGCAAGTAATCTTTACAAATCATAAGAATGAATAGAACATAGTATATGCCAAATTAGCATTGTTAAAATAATATGAAATTCAAATGGCTAATTGGAGCCTGAGAGTCTGAAACTGATTAAACTCATTTTTGAAGTACTTTAGAAATCAAAGGATAGAGGAAAAAATAACTCCAGAGCTAAGAAAGCAATAGCTCAAAACACAAGTCTATAAAATTTAATTAAAAAATTTACTCAAAACACCATCGACCACATGAGTTCTCGCACTAACAGAAAACTAACTCGGAGTTTGGAAGCTTGCTTGGGGCAAATTATGCCGTGAGCATGTGCCCACCTTGCAAGGTAGGCACAGTTCCATATCCATAATTTCTATACTGTAGATTCATAAAATTTATACTTTAAATTCCAATTGTTGAACTCTGTTTTCACAATCACAGAACTATATGTTCATAATTTGATAACTATACAGCTTAGAAATTATGAATTTATAGTACAGAAATTATAAATATACAGTACAGATATTATGAATCTGTAATATAGAAATTATGAATCTACTGTATAGAAATTATGAATCTATTGTATTTAAATTATGAATTTACGGTTTAGAAATTATGAATCTAAAGTATAAATTTTATGAATCTACAATATAGAAATTATAAATCTACAGTACAGAAATTATGAATATGGAACTGTGCCCATCTTGTAAGGTGGGCACATGCTCATAGCATAACATTTCTTTGTTTGGAGGGGCAAATACTTTGGTATTTTTGTGAGCTTTTGAAAGCTTAAACTTTTGTTTGGAGGGAAGATGCTTTGGTGAGGGGGGCCAAACAAAAAAGCAATATACTAGTAATAAAAAAAAAAATTGGGGGGGGGGGGGGGGCAAGGCCCCCTGCAATCACTATATACCTCCATTCCTGGATGCACATTAAGCATTAAAATGACGCATTTTAAGTACACAACACACGCACATTAAGCACACAAACAAAACACCTTAAGAACACAAATCACGCACCTTAACAATACTAACCACGCACCTTAAGCACATAACAAATCACCTTAAGAACACAAATCACGCACGTAAGGTTTTAAAAATGATTCACTTTAAGTTTCACATAACTGACGCACCTTAAGATGAAAACAACGCACATTAAGAAGGAAACTCACGCACCTAAGTTTCAGCAACTACTGACATTAAGCACAAAACCCCACGCACCTTAAGGATTAAACACAAAACTCATGCAGTTTAAGCACAAAACCCACGCACCTTAAGCACAAAACTCACGCACTTTAAGCACAAAACACACGCGCCTTAAGCATAAAACTCACGCATCTTAAGTTTCAACAACTACTACCATTAGGTACACAACCCCACGCACCTTAAGCACAAACTCACGCACTTTAAGCACAAACTCACGCACCTTACTCACAAAAATCATGCACCTTACATTTGACTTAAATGTAAAAAATTGTCAAACTGCCTCCGCATTTTTTATTTAATTTTGATAATCTAAACGTTGATTTAGGCAAAATCAATGGTTCTCATTTCACTGCACAACCGCACCTGGATCCCTCAACCGCACAGGAACCCCTTTATATATATATATATATATATATATATATATATATATATATATATGTATATATATATATATATATATATATATATATACATATATATATATATACATATATATATATACATATATATATACATATATATATATACATATATATATATATATACATATATATATATATATATATATATATATATATATATACATATATATATATATATATATATATATATATATATATATATATATATATATATATATATATATATATATATATATATATATATATATATAGGGCAAAACATTATAGTGTGAAAAATAATGAAACACTTAAAAAATATAGTCATAAATATTGTTGGATATAAATGAAAAATAAAACATATTATTAAAACTTAATTTGATAAAATAATTCAAATAAAAAAACACATTATAAATTACACATCTCATTATTAATATAAAAAATTTATTTATATATATACATAAGCTATAAAGAAACTCAGTTGAAAGCCAAAAGAAGAAAGTAAAGAAGAGACAAGGGACTCGAACTAAATAATTCATAATAAAATATGAAACATAATTAATTTGATAAAATAATTCAAATAAAAAAACACATTATAAATTACACATCTCATTATTAATATAAAAAATTTATTTATATATATACATAAGCTATAAAGAAACTCAGTTGAAAGCCAAAAGAAGAAAGTAAAGAAGAGACAAGGGACTCGAACTAGTTACTATTTCTAACCACACACACGGCTTAACCAACTCAACAAACTCACCTATTGTTTATTTCTATTAGTTTTCTTAAATTTATATGTAAAACATGTACTATATATACATACCAGGGCTATATATGAGGTGGGGGTGGGGTGAGTGGGGGCAGCTGCCCCCACACTAGATCCGCCACTGTTTATATATATATATATATATATATATTGAATCCAGTGAAATCCCCCTAGGCAGGTGAGATCGTGAGATTTCATCATGTTCGTTTATTTTTTTTTTCAACGGCTCTGATCTGATGCGAATTGAACACACGTGCTCTGTGTAAGAATGGAAGAATGTATGTGTATTCAATATCTCAAACACTGTACAACCAAGATATAAATAGGAGAAATACTAACAACAGTTCTAGACTACTTCTCTAGGAGATAAAATATAACCACACAAACTCAATCAATTGACTAAATATATGTGGACAAATATTAATGTTTAATACGCCTCCGCAAGATGGAGGAACCATCGGTGACACTAATCTTGGACCTGAACTTCTGAAATAGAGCACGTACCAATGGCTTAGTCAAGACATTTGCCACTTGATCACAGGCAGAGACATGTCGGACAAACAACGAACCTTCAGCCACCATATCACGAACGAAGAAATAATCTAAGGCAAGATGCTTCATCCTGGAGTTGAAAAATGGATTCTTACAGACATATGTTGAACCCGAGTTATCACACAACACAGACGGTGGTTGGCACAAACGAATGACAACCTCTTGGAGCAAGTTCTGAATCCAGACAAGCTCAGCTGCAGCATGCGCTAACGCCCGATACTCAGCTTCTGTTGAAGACTGAGATACCGTTTTCTGACGTGCAGACTTCCAGGAAATAATGTTAGGTCCAAGGTAAATTACATAGGCAGTGGTAGACCATCCTTTATCACGTAAGCTTCCCCAATCCGAGTCAGAAAAAGAAATTAACCGCAGAGGGGCATCAAACGTCAACAATAAGCCAAGATGAACCGTACCTTTTAAGTATCTAAGGACACGTGTTGCTGATCGCCAGTGTTCTGCATTTGGCGCATGCATAAATTGAGCTAACTTGTTAACAACATACGCCACATCTGGTCGGGTAATGAGGAGGTACTGCAAAAGTCCAATCAGTCGACGATAGCTTGTAGCTTCTATAACGTGAGTAGAATTATCAGCTTGCAAAGTCGAGTCGGAAGCCATTGGTGTGGACACAGGCTTTGCACCATCCATCTTGAATTGAATGAGAATATCTTCAAGATAATGTCCCTGAGGTAAAAACATACCAAATGCAGTAGTTATGACCTCAACTCCTAAAAAATGATGAAGGAGACCCAGGTCCTTGATTGAAAACCGGTTGGCTAATTTTGTTACAAAGGCATCCAGAAACGTATCACTACTGCCAGTGAGGATGATGTCGTCGTCATACACCAGGAAGTACGCGACAACACCGTTAGAGGCATAAACAACGACGTATCCACTTTCGAGTGTGTAAAACCTGTATAAATCAAGAAATGTGACAACTCCGACTACCATGCACGGGGTTCTTGTTTAAGGCAATATAACGCCTTACGTAGCTTACAGATATAGTATAGATACTGGTTATCTAGGTACCCTGGCGGTTGATTCATATAAACATCTTCGTACATACTGTCATGTAAAAATGCATTTTTCACGTCTAGCTGCCAAATGGTCCACCTGTGACTCAAAGCATCTGTCAGAATAATCCGAATGATTACCGATTTCATGACTGGGCTAAAGGTTTCAAAGTAATCCCGCCCGGACTCTTGTAAGAAGCCCTTCACCACCAACCGTGCCTTGTAGCGATCTACAGTACCATTTTGTTTTCGTTTGATACGATACACCCATTTGCAGCCTATTGAACAAGATCCCACATCTGATTGCGACGCAATGCCGCAAACTCATCATCCATGGCAGCACGCCACAGAGGATCCTTCAAAGCCTGCGTGATGTTAGACAGTTCAAGAGAAATAGGCAGTGGATGCACAGTGGTGGAGTTCACACATTTATCATTGTAATACTTTGGATTCAACTTGCGAACCCGAGTCGATCGGCGAAGGAGAATAGGGGGTTCTAGAACTGAGATTGGGAGTGGCTGTGGCGAAGACTCGGATGACGATGCAGACATATCAGACTCAAATAGAGAAGACTCGGACGACGATGCAGATATATTAGACTAAGATACAGAACATTCGGACGAAGACTGTGACGCTTCATGAGAGGGGTGGTCTGGCTGCGACGCGGGAAAGGGCGACTGCGATGCAGAACCGGATGATGACGGAGAGGCGGGGGTTGACACATGTGAAGGGTGCGCGGTCGCGGAAGAAGATGGATGCGACGTTGGTGGCGGCAGCGCAAACGCTTGTTCAGATTCCGAAGGCATTAACCGAGAAGGATTGCACTGCGGAGATGGACGAAGCTGACCAATGGCTGACACGTTAAGGGGAGCATGAGGTGGAAAAATCGGCTGAAAAATTGGAGTGACATGAGGCGGTGGTACAGTTTGGGTACAAATTGAATTACGGATTAAATCTACAGATGTAGAGTTCGGCTGAAAAATAATTTGCGCAGGGAAGGTATTTTCTACAAATTTGACATGTCTAGATACATACATTCGTTTAGAAACATAGTCCCAACATTTAAATGTAGATTGAGACGTTGAGTATCCGAAAAAAAATGCAAGGCACAGATTTGGCCTGTAACTTTGTTTTTGTGTAGGGGCGCAACCAAGGAAAGCAAAGACAGCCGAAACTATTTATCCTTTTAATGTTTGGTAATTTGTGAAACAGACACTCAAAACGAGATTTGTTGTTGAGAATTGGCGTGGGAAGCCGATTTATAAGGTACACCGCAGTTTGGACGGCATAGGACCAGAACGAAACTGGGAAAGACGCACTATGTAACAGGGCTAGAGCTGTTTCGACTATGTGCCGATGCCGGTGTTCAGCCGTACCGTTGTGTTCTGGGGTATGTGGAGGTGAAGTAAGGTTTGATATACCAAATGAATTAAACATTGGTATTAGCTTGACAAATTCACTACCGTTGTCCAAAAGAAATTGACACAATGGCGTGACCAAAGAATTTTTCTACCAGACGTTTGAACTGCGGGAATATCAAAAACACATCAGATTTTTTTTAAGTGGATATAACCAGATGTACTTAGTAAAGAAATCTACAAATATGACATAGAAGGAGTAACCGTCAATTGACTTTTCGGAAGTACTCCAAACGTCTGTATATATTAATTGTAGGGGTTTGGAACTAGACAAAGAATTTTCTAAAAAAGGTAACTTGTGACTCTTATTAATGTTACAAGATGAGCAATTAAAACCTGAAACAACCGCAGATTTAATTCCTAACTCATAACATTTTATTAGCTTTTTAAGAGTGCTGTTGGACGGATGTCCAAACCTGTGATGCCAAGCTGTGATTGTGGATTGGGTCGAAACATTTATTTGTGCAAACGAACCATTATGAGAATAGTAAACATCATGAATGTTGTCCCCCTGTAGAAGTGGCGCCCCCTTGACTAGACCCTTCACCAAAAAATAAGTCGGAAAAAATTCGACAGAAACTCGATTAGATTTACACAACTTCGACACATATAGTAGATTTGTATGTAACTTCGGGACACATAAAACGTTATTGAGACACAATGAATGAGATGTAGCAGGAAGAATAATATGTCCTATATGAGTGATGTTTAATGTCTTACCATCCCCCAAGCTTAATTCATCGGGCCCCTCATAATCCGTAAAGCCATGCAAAGTGGATGGAGTCGATGTCCATGATGGGAAGCACCACTATCAAACATCCATTGATGCGAGGTAGCAGGTGACGAGGTGGCTGAATTGGCAACCGGTTGATAAGTTCGGAAATTTTGAGTGTCACTAAACTGATAGTTGTTGTCATGTAAAAATTGAGCCACCTTCCTGCAAAACTTAGTGCCATGGCCTGAGAATTCACAGAAATTACAATACCTTCCTTGACGGTTGCCGGAATTATAACCACGGCCATGACCACGGCCTCTACGGGAATTGGAGTTGGTAGATTGACCACGAGACGATCCTGAACCCGATTTGGCCAAGTCTGTAGGAGTTTGGCGTTGGGTGACATTCGCCGTGGGTATAAGCGAAGACTGATCAGTGCATTGCCTCATTGTGCGTTCGTACTCGGTTAGAATAGTACCAAGCTCGGCAAACGTAATCGCAGTTTTGCGAACACTAATCGCTGCCATGATTGGATGAAATTCGTCACCTAATTGGGTGACTACATGAACCACAAGGTCCTCATCCGAGATAGGATGTTGAGCCAATGCCAGGTCATCAGCAATGGACTTCATATCTTGAAGAAATGCTAAAATCGTTCGGGATCCTCTTGGATTTCTGACCAGCTTTGCTTTGAGAGATATGACTCGGCCTTTAGACGAACTAGCATAGCCGGATGTAAGGCGGGACCATGCGTCCTCAGCTGTTGTTGCATAAGATATAACGGGTTGAATGGTGTTTGTGCAGCTACCAAAGAGAGTAGCCAGAATTATCTGGTCCTACCGAACCCAATTAGTATGGGTTGGGTTTGTGGTTGTTGAAGCAGTACCAAGGAATTCAACAGGTTCCTTGACTGTGCCGTCAATGTATCCCAACACGCCAAGACCAATGAGAGTCGAGTGAACTTGTCGACGCCAGACTGGGAAATTTGCTTCAGTGAGGCGGATTGGGAATGTAACACCCCCTAATTTTCATACTGAATTAAGCCTTAAACATGCAGATAACTAACCAAAACATCAAACACAGCGGAAGACTGAACAATGTTTATATAAACTGGAAATGAAAAGGGTGCTATGCCATGCTTACCCAGAGGTGAACGTACAGGCTAACATCTGCATAAACCACAATCTAAAATCCATACATAACAAAAGTACTAATGTCTATCCTTGGCACACAGGCCATAACAACACAAACGAGGGATCTACACTAACAGGATCTAGACCATGCTCACGTCTACACATCACCTGAAAGAAACACATAAAAGATGGGACGACGCCCGGTTAGCGAATGATGCTGGTAACCCACAAATACATGTGAAATATCATACATAGATAGGATATACGTATGTAAAATCATTTGCGAAACGGAATATATATATATATATATATATATATATATATATATATATATATATATATATATATATAATATATATATATATATATATATATATATATATATATATATATATATATATATATATTATATATATATATATATATATATATATATATATATATATTAGTTCAAAGCCAAGAGCAGAAGTCAACACATGACTCTAAACACTCACAACAAGATAAGGGAACACATCCCAAGACCACAAGGAACAACAACGACTCACAAGAACGGCTCAAGGCATAATCTACCATCACACAATAGATTAACAGCCGACATGCATAACACAAGAGAATAAAGACACTACCATGGGCAACACATGCCTTTGTGACAACACATGTCACAAATAGAGAAACACAACAACGGCTACACACGCCTTCGTGACATCACCCATCACGAATTGATATGCCTTCCTTATGCCCGGTTCCAACCTTATGGCTATCCCCAACCTTATAGCTAGTTCCAACCATTACCTCCAGGACCCCTGTACACCAAGTCGAACCTTTTCCCTCCGAGGACCGTCGTCCCCATCCGCCAACGACCGCCAACAAAACCACCGATTCATAGTACACGAGGGTACCGATCACATGCATCGGCAACACATGCATCGGCAACACATGCCTCCCAAGAAATACGTGAACCTGACACACAGGTCACAAACTCCATAATCGCGTCATGGCCACCACGAGGACCACTGCCGTACCTTGGTGACTAGTGTCCCATACCACTAATCGTGCAATCCAGGTACAGCCACACACACCACACCACAACAGGAATCAATCAACGGATCACAACGAAGATATGAAACTGTACTCAATCAAGGAATGGATCACAGTCCAACAACAACGATGATTAACACAAGTCATCATCAACCAATAGGAAAGCACAAAAAACACACATGCTAGCATTTAAACATTGAACTAGCATGCTTATCAAACGGGTAAACCAAACATAGTTCCGAAGAACACACAAGACTCATCACGTGTAACACCCCGTGTTACGACCCCTAAGATCAATTAAATCATTTAATCAATTACCCAAAAGAGAGAATTAAATCACAATAATTAATTAAGAAAGGCCCACCATAGTCCACGGGCCCTTATCCCTAAACCCAATCCTTAGTCCCAAAAGAAATAGAACTAGCAAGCCCATAATATTAGTTCCTAACTAGGACTTCTAATTATATAAATAGGGGACTTATGAGGCACCTAGAAACCCCCCCCCCCCCCACCACAGGAATAACGCCCACCACCCCAAAGAGCTCCAAGAACCCCCCTAGAAGAAATCAAGAAAGCTTAAAGAGAGACCCTTCATAACCAAGGAATTAATTAAGGCTAAGAGGTAACCCATGTCTCAACAAAACCTATTTTCATAGTTATGATTTCCCCCGTAGGATTTCCCCATATTATTGTGTATTGATGTTTTATGATATTATTATTGATGATTGATGGGATAATTCCATGGGTGATCTTGATATTGGGAGATTCTTGATAACTATGGTGTTCTTAACGATTACGTGGAGTTCTTGATGATTATATGGTGTTCTTGATAATTGTATGACGTTCTTGATGCTTATGTGTTATTTATACCGAATCTTGTAATTAGAAGGCGAACCATATTCTTGTTGTTATAAAAGTAATTAGAACCCTAGGTTATATCGTGGAATTCGGATGGTATTATTCTTGGTATATTAGGTGGGATTTCACATGATTGGGGGTTTATAGGGTCTAGAAAAGCATGATAGGTTATGTGCCGTTTGATTCTTGATTTTGATCCGTTAAATCGTCTACGTGTGTTGTCAATTGCGTTTAAAAGTGTCCAAGCATGGTCTCGGGATCCACGAAGGTTCCCGGGGCGTTTTTGGTGTTAATGAGTCAGTGGGGGGTAGGTGGGGGTAGGGGACCCGCCACTTACCCGCGGTCAAAAGAGGGCAGTTCCGGCAGTGGGCAGCAGGCGGGCGGGCAGCTGCCCGCTGGCGACCCGCTGCCCGGAACAGTGTTACCGGCGGGTGGCCCCCCCACCCACCGGCTACCCGCTGGAAATTCCCACACTTAGGACCCCGACTTCCCCGTTTGATGTTTCCCCGACCCCCGTGGTGTCCCAACGGACTCCGTCTAAATTTAACGTCGTTAGCTCGATGTTACCTCTCTAGCCATCAAGTGATTGGAGAAGAAAAATCCCCTTCTTTCCATCAACTTTCTCTTCCAAGTATTTCTTCAAGTGGTGTCCATTTATAAACTCTCTTAAGCTCGAACCCTTCACGTCATCATGTAAGGAACCACATTTGCCCGAATCAAGAATTATGCCTCCATTCTCTTTTCCTTCTTTTTCAACACTCTTTTGTTCAACAAGTAATGAGAGTCTCGGATCATTCACATGAACCAGCAAGTATTGGGAATCATTAGATATATAGATAGGCAAATGTGTGCCATTATCCTTAAGAACTCCAATGCCTCCCAAATTCAAAATTTCTCTGAAGTTCTCTCCCAGGGAAGTGTTCTCCATTAGTGAGACATCCTCATTCAAATCATGTGCTCCATTAAGAACTTCCTCATCTAATGGGCAACTCTCTATATGTTCCTTGCCATCATTACCTTGCAACTCTACATTTTCCTCCCAGCTTGGTGTCTCCATCTCAATGCATTTATCAAATATTTCTTCATCTCCCTCTCTAAGATCCTCATCATCCTTTTTATTTTTCTCAACTTCATGACCTTCATTTGGCAAGAGCAACTCCTCTAGAACATCTCCATTAAATGAATCATGAAGTGGCTCTTGAATTGTCAAATCTTGCTGTCGAGCCATCATGTGATCGAGTCGAGCATTCATGCGATCAAGTTGAGCATTCATGTGATCTTGTAACTCCAGATATTTCGAGCACAATTGCATTAACTTGGTCTCTTTGGACTTCATCTCAATTATTTGGTCAAGTGATTGACAAT